AAAAGGGGACTCAAAACACATCTATTTAAGAAATATTTTAATTAATGGACAGTACCTTTGCCTTTTTGTAAGAGCATTTTTTATTGTCTGAAAGAATGTTGCTGTCAAAAAGTGCGCATATGATGAATTTGTATGGTGTTAGTATGAATGCGTTTTTAATCTCCTATGTACGCCTAGGACCCATGCTGTGGGGAAAGGCTGGATACAAATGCTCTTATTATTATTATTATTATTATTATTATTATTATTATTATTATTATTATTATTATTATTTTGTTTTGTTTTGTTTTTTAAAATTATTATTATTATAAATTGTTGTTGTTGTTATTATTTCATGAACTCTTTCCTTCCCCCCTTTTGTGACAACCCGACACAATTACCAAGTCCAGGTGAACCCAAAAGCGCTCTTGGCCAATGGTTGAAGTCGAGGGTGACGAGAGTGAGGCGCCAACGCCATCTTATGTTTCCCATCGACGCACGACAAAGACATGATGGGGGCACCTGAACTGCCTTGGCACGTGGGAATACTGTGCGCAAAAGCGTGTTGTTCGCCGGTTTCAGACGCCCGACTCTCACTTCGGTTAATTTCTGTCAGGATTTGCCCTAACTCCGACATGAGCTTATGAAACCTGTCACTGAAAGCGTTTAAAAATTCATCGTCGTAGTCGTCAAGCTCACAAGGAAACAATTCCTTCACTCTCTTCAGTTTTTCTTCTTCTGACAGAGCAGCCCATTCTGGGCATTCACAGTCATCTTCTCCCTCTTCTTCCTCTTCCTTTTCCTCCTCCTTATGGCTGTCATTATCGGGTTCCCCTTTTCCCCCATCTTTATAACAAGAGCTATCTTCATCATCTGATATCTGATCAAAATCAGAATTAAGATTTGACTGTTCTCCAGTCAAAATTCCAATATTTTCCGAAAGTTTATCTCTCATTTCCTTGAGTTCCTCCTCCGAAGGACTCGTCACAAGCCCTTTTGTCTCCAGGTCAATTAATACCTTGGAGGTGAACCCACATAGCTTCGGGAGCAAATTCACCAGGCGTTTCATTTCAACATCAAGAATGAAGTAGTAAAAGAACTTTTTCTCGTCGAAATGAAATAATGCTGTACCACAAACATCGACCACAATTCCAGAGCCATACGGAGGTTTTGGCTCAAAATGTGTGGCCTTTAGCTCATTGAGTCCTCCAAAAGAAACCCTCTTAGCACAGCCATGGGGATGAGAGATACAGAAAGAGACATCTTCAAAAATATCAGGTGCATAATACGTCTGATCAAGTTTCTCCAAAACTGCAGGTAATTCACCGGGCTTGTCCAGCTCACAAAAAAACACACAAATATCCTCTTCGGGTAAAGAATAATATAAATCCACCCCCTTCCCTCGAACAACTCCGGATCTGTCCGAATCGTCGTCGAAAAAGAACTCAACTGTTGTATGTTTGACCTCGTCCATGTCAAACACGACGTGAGCAGCTGTCACAATCTTCAGCAGGGTGCGGGGTTCCTGAGTGGTGCTGGGGTGTGCAGCATCCGATTGCTGTGGAAAAGCGACACCTGTCCCATGAGCTAGTCTCTTTGTGCCTTTTGAGCTCGGTAAAGCAAAGTTTTTTGGTCTGTCTTTTGACACGTACCTCACACTTAGTCTCACCACGGAATGCGCCCAAGATTTGAGCCACTTTAAGGTCGCCACACTGCTACAGCCTCGAGGAAGGTGTTCTTGGCGAAGTTCTTTTATGGGAACAAAGTCTTTGTGTCCGGGATTCTTCAAACATCTTCTGAATGCAAAGGGCAATCGACACGTTTTTAAATCTTCATTCTCGGATGAAATTTCAAGTTCACAGTATTCACCTGAAAATAAAATTCAAGCACAAAATTCCGTTCAAGGCGTATTGTTGTATGTTATTTAAGAAGGCGTGGCATGATTTACTATGGAAGTTGACAAGAAGTCGCACTGTTGGGTGTGTTTGTTTGTTTGTTTGTTTGTTTGTTTGTTTTCTGTCCAACTTAGCGTGTGCATACGTTAGGTATCTGTCGTTTTCATTACAGTACACTTACGTACAAGAAGTAGTTTATTTTGTGCGGGGCGGCGAGTGAAGGAAAAATAAAAATAATATAGATACTTGTCTGCGCGAGAATTTTTTTCAGCGTGTTGTTTCTGTTCAAACACTGCTATGTGTAAGAGAAAAGGTTTTTTTCCCGTAAACATAGGCCTGCTTTAGTACATGCACTATGTTTTTAAATAGCAATCTTTGATTTTACAAATGGATAGGCTTGTTATATTCCTCTTTTTTTTTGGCTCAGAACAATTCTTTGGTTCAAAGGTTGGAAAGAAATATATCTTTGATACTATTTTAAAAAATGAATGAGATATTATATTAAGAGAAAAACCTATCGAGAATTACCCTGTGCTTAGAATTAATTTAGTTTAGAAATACTAATACTTTCATACTGTATTACATAGGCTATAAGTGAATGAGATATTATATAATGAGAAAACCTCTAGAATTACAATGTGTTTAGAATTAACCTCGTTTAGAAACATATAAATGATACTGTATTACATATGTAACTGAATGAGATAATGATATATACCGAAAGCCATTAAAAACGCAACGTTTTAAAAAAGTTGTAAGTGTAAGAAAGCCGAATATTATGCTCTGATCGTCAGGATTTCTGGAGACAGAGGTAAGTACATGTAGTTAATTCACACTCCAAAGCACGAGTTTAGTTATTTCCACAAGTACTTTTCATCACAGCACAGTGATTCATGCTTTAATAAAATGTGAAAACGAGAAGCAATATTACCCAGGGAAAGAATTCAATTCACTAAGAAAATGATAAGCGGCTGATTCCAAATAGAAGTCCGTGTAATTTTTAAATCAATTTTGTTTTGTTTTTCCTTACAAGACGTCTCAACCTAGCAAAGTTAATCACAAGTTTTGCTTCCGTTCAGTGCAATGCAGAAAATCTGCCTGAGAAGCAGCCAGACGGCTAAAGTGCAGTGCGTGTATTGTTTCTCTGCGTACCCAAAGATTCAAGCACACTTGCAATGTCCGGGATAGACCGAAAAAAACAGGACAGCCTCGAGTGACCAGCCCTGCTCAAGACAGACAGATTTTGCTGTCACATCTGCGGAATTGTTTCATTCTTGCAAAAGTAACCGCTCTAGGCATGAAAGGAGTACTTGAAAATTTTTCTTCCACCAATGTGTTGCGCCGGATAGTGGTTATCATGGACTAAGAACAAGAACGCCTTATTTAGAACTGCTATTAACGAATCCGCGACAACAGCGCCGTATTCACAGTGTGCAACAGCACGGGAAAAAAATCAGAACTTCTCAGTCATCCAACACGACACCCCTACTCTGTGAATTGGATTGTGAATATTATTTTATTATATATGTGCTCATTTCGTAACGATGTGTAAGCGTGTGTGTGTGGTAAGCAAGTAGATGTGTGTGTGTGTGTGTGTGTGTGTGTGTGTGT